GCCCCGACGCCTGCCCCCATGCTGGATCACCGAGCCAGGATGGAGAGCGGCAGGAAGGAGAAGGTGAGGCCGCCGCCGGGGCGATCCCAGGGGCAACTGGTGGGGAGATGGGGCGGGGGGCACCCGGCGGGTGCGGGCAGCGGTGCGGATCCTCCCCGGGCTGCCAGCCCTCCCTGCGGCGAGCGGCCAGGCGCTGATGGCGTCTGCTGCCGGGCAAGGTCCCCCTTGGGGACGGAGGTAGCCGGGAGGGGAGGACGGCTGGCGGGTTGGACGTCGGCTCCAGGGGCAAAGCCGTGCAGCCCGGGGTCAGCCCCGACGTGCCCAGGGGGGTCCCCGTCCCCGAGGTCACCCCCCGGCACGCTCCGAGGAGGGGACCCAGCGCCATGAGCCAGGGCTCTGCGTTTTGGTGCACCGGATCTCGGCACGGCACGGGCCGTGCCCCATCCCCGTGCCACCAAGGACTCAGGACGGAGCCGGGAATGCCTGTGGGACTGCACCGCCTGGCTGGGATGCTCCTGCCGTCCAGGCGTTGCCGTTGGCATCTTTCTGCCAGCCAAGCAGCTGCCATCCCCGGGACAAGATGGGGCCTGTCACCTCCTTCGGCTGGTCGTCACATTGTCCCCGAGGCACCCAGAAGGACGGCACCCGGCTCATCCCCGGCCAAATGTCAGTCGGGGGCAGCTGCTCCCAACTCCTCTCCTGGATGGATTGAGCTGACGGGGCTGCGCCATGGGTGAGGACAGCAAGATGCCTCCCCGCTGCGGACTGGGATGTCCAAGGGGACACCGAGGGGACACGGCACGTGCTGGGGGCAGGAGTGCGTGGCTGGCAGAGTCGGGCATCGCCGGCCACTGCAACCTTCGGCCGCGTGGTTTCCAGCTTTGTCCCCTTTGCGGGATGCGTGAGAGCAAACAATTTCCTTGGGAAGCCAGGAGCTGGTTTTGGTGGCATGGGAAGAGCCAAATCCCACTGAGGAAGAGTGAAACCCCTTGTTTCGGGGGCAAGAGAAGGGATGAGTCGGGACATGCGGCACCTGAGATGGAAAAAACGTTGGAGAAATAAAACTCAGACCCTTGGGTGCCACTCGCGGGTGCCGGCCCTGGGGACGGGGACCCTCTGGCCACGGCAAATTTGGTGTTCATGTGCCGAACAGTGCCACAGGATGGCTTCATGCTGAATACCTTCAGCCGACAGCTCAGGCGAGATGGTCTAATCCGGCTCCACACTTTTCCTGGCAGGATTTTTCCAGCCATCCCGGGCTGAACACCCTCCGGGTCGTGGCGAACCTCACCACGGTGCTGCCTTGGGCTGCCCCGGTCCCTTTTTGGGGTGGCCGGTGGCATCCCCCAGCATGGCGGCATCCTCCGTGGCGCAGCCACGTCTCTTGGCATCTTGTCTCGCGGCACCTCAGGGGTTCAGGGCTAATGGAGCCCCCAGGCTTCGGCACCGAGACAGGGCGGGGAGGACGGCTGGAGAGGTGCCGGGATCCCGCCCGGCTGAGGGTGGTGGCTGAGGCCCGCCCAGGCGCGAGGGCTCTGCGGGGCAGGAACTTTCAAGGGCGAGGAGATATTTGGGATCAGCCCCCCCTCGGGGAGCTGGAGGCTGAGGGACGGCGTTCGGGGCCGGGTGAGGTATCAGGGTGCGCTGGGGGGATCGGGGCGAGCAGCCGCAGGTTTGGCTGAGCCGAGGCGGTGGGTGCTCTTCCCATACCGGGATGCTCCAAACCACGTCCCAAAGCCTTCTACGATGCCCCCCCGCCCCGAAACACATCGGGAAACAGCAGCAGCCTCGAGGAAAACATCCGTCTGCCGGCAAAAGTGCAAGCGGGAGCGTTTGAAGCTTGCCCGGATCCCAGTGACTAATGAGCCCTCTAATGCCGCCGGCTGCATCTGGCCGAGCCGCGAGCGCGCTCTCTCCCCCCGCCAGCTCCATCTGACAGCCCGGGGCTGCCTGCCCCCGATTACGTGCCGTGGCTAATGGAGGCTGCGCCGGCGGCGGAGCCTGGGGTTGCTGCGTAAAGGGTAAATACAGGTCCTGCCTGCCAGGCGCTTCCCTTGAGTGGGCCCTGCGATTCTCCCTGGTAGCGAGGCAAGGGAGCATTTCCTGATAATACTTTTTATATCCCGCCCGCGCTCCGGGCTGCCTGCTCTCGGCCCCCCTTTCGCGCCAAGTCCAATGGGCAGAAAATGGTACCCGCAGTTCCCGGCGAGATACAGGGAGAGGGATGGATGCTCCTGGCTCCCAGGGGACCAAGGAGAATGCAGCATCCTCGTTGCAGACACGGAGAGGTCCCGCATCCTTGGCGGGAGCTGCTGAGCTCCTAAATGGGATTGCTGGAAGTGCTCCTTGCTGGGAAAGACTGGGATTCGGCAGGATGGGACATCCCAGGTCACTGGTCCAAGGCCTGCTGGAATGGCGCCGGCTTCAATGTGGTGTCAACCATCTGAGCTCGTGGAAAATCAATGGGCTGAAAGCGACAGCACGGGGACCATGACAGGCAGCGCCGGGAGAGGATCTGGGGCCAGCAGCGGCTCCCGCCGGGCCGTGCTGGTCATGCGGATTCCCCAGCCTGTCCGTTAGGTTGGAGGCAGGATAGCGGAGAGATGGGATAAGGTGTTTCGGGGTGTCTGTGTGCTGATGGGGAAAAGCAGGGCCAGGGGAAGGAAAATTTGGATTATTTATTGCGGTTCAGGCCACCCGGGTCCCATATCCCCCGTCCCCAGCTGATGCCATCCGTCCTGCCGCAGGTGGAGCAGATCCTGTCGGAGTTTCGGCTGAAGGAGGAGGACCTGAAGAAGGTGATGTACCGGATGCAAAAAGAGATGGACCGAGGGCTAAAGCTGGAGACGCACGAGGAAGCCTCCGTCAAAATGCTGCCCACCTACGTCCGCTCCACACCCGAGGGCTCAGGTACGGCGCTGCCGGGCTGCTTGGGCATCGCTCCCGGTCCTTTGCCGCGTCACCTCTTCCTCAGACCTCGCTGAGCTCGGTGCGGGAGGCCGAGCTGCCCCCGAGCCGGTCACCTCCTGGCTTTGCAGAGGTCGGAGATTTCCTGTCGCTGGACCTCGGCGGCACCAATTTCCGCGTGATGCTGGTGAAAGTGGGCGAGGGGGAGGAAGGGCAGTGGAAGGTGAAGACGAAGCACCAGATGTACTCCATCCCGGAGGACGCCATGACGGGGACGGCCGAGATGGTGAGCTGGGCACGCGGGGCGTCCCGTCCCCTCCTGCACGGTCCCCGTCACCGGGCAGGGGCGCACCCTGCCGCGTTTCGGTGGGGACGCCGGTGGGGGCATCCCTCATCCCTCCGGGGGGTGGCAGGGAGGTGGCCACGCGCCGGGGACCCGTGGTGGGGATGGTGGCCGGCTGCGGGCGGTGGGAGGATGGGGGACAGCCCCCGGCGAAGGCTGGACCTCCTCTCTTCCAGCTCTTCGACTACATCTCCGAGTGCATCTCCGATTTCCTGGACAAGCACCAGATGAAGCACAAAAAGCTGCCCCTGGGCTTCACCTTCTCCTTCCCCGTGCGGCACGAGGACATCGACAAGGTGAGGGGGTGGCTGGGCAGCACGAGGACTCGGGGGGCCCCAGGACCCAGCTACACCCACAGCCCCATTTTGGTCTTACCCTCGCTCCAGGGCATCCTCCTGAATTGGACCAAGGGCTTCAAAGCCTCCGGCGCGGAAGGGAACAATGTGGTCGGGCTCCTGAGAGATGCCATCAAACGGCGAGGGGTGAGATGATCGTACGGTTTGTGCCAGTACCGCAGCGGTGGGGAGACCCCAGCACCCCCGGCTGTCCCCGAAACGGGGCCGCCGGAGCCTGGCGCGTCCCTGGGAAGGGTCGTTCCACGCGTGCGCACACGCAAGCACGTGACACGTGTGCATCCTCGCCCTTGGGGACCCCCCAACCCCGACCCGCCTGCTGCGGCACAGCCCGGACCCCCGGCGAGACCCCGATGGTCCCTCTCCCCTCCCCAGGACTTCGAGATGGACGTGGTGGCGATGGTGAACGACACGGTGGCCACGATGATCTCCTGCTACTACGAAGATCACCGGTGCGAGGTTGGGATGATTGTGGGTAAGACGGCCCCTTCCCGCAGGGACACGCAGCAGGCCGGGGGGGACCGTTCCCACGGCCCCGCTCACGCTTCCCTGCTGCGAGCAGGGGCTTGTCCCTTTTGGGGACACCCACCAGGGACAGGGGGGTGGCAGCGGCGCCCTGCCGAGGTCTCCTGAGGTTGGGACGCCAGATGGCATCGCCTGGCCCCGGCACGGTGGTGGGGGCACCTTTGCGGTGAAGAGGGGGTCTGGTCACCCAGGGCGCGGGTCTGTCCCCGAGGGCCATTCTTTCTCCAGGCTGCCGGTGGCTCCGGCATCTCACCGTACGGCTGGGGACCCACTGAAGGTGGCCAGCGCTGGCCGTGCTGGGGAGCCTGGGAGGTGGGGATGGGTTTGAACCCCGCAGGCTCCTTTGTCGCCTGCAGGGGAGCAGCCCCCCGCCATCCCCCAGACCCACGCTGGCTTTAGTGCCATCAACCATGCAGCCATCTGGGCTTTCCGCACCGGCTCACGCCGTCCCCTCGGCCTGGGTAAACACCGCGCCACCGGCACCGGGCTGTTTATCAGCTCCTCCGGAGGCCAGGCTGCCCTTGCTGCGCAGCAGCCAGAGCCCCTGGGACCCCGCGGTGGCCGTTCCTGACACCCAGCAGGGACATGCAGCCGGCTGGGGCCGTGGGGAAGGATCGGGGGGAGCAGGAGGGCTGAGCTTCCCAATCCGCATCAGGATGGGGACGGACAGCTCCGAGCGCAGCCCCCCAGCTGTGGCGCTGGCTGCCCCACGGAGCCGGCAGGACGGGCAGGACGCGGGTGCTGGGGCTCAGCGCTGTCCCCCGCCACCACCACCCACTCCCATCCCCGGTTCCCGCTGGCAGGGACGGGCTGCAACGCCTGCTACATGGAGGAGATGCAGAACGTGGAGCTGGTGGAGGGCGACGAGGGGCGGATGTGCGTCAACACGGAGTGGGGGGCCTTCGGCGCCTCGGGGGAGCTGGACGAGTTCCTCCTGGAGTACGACCGCGTGGTGGACGAGACCTCACTTAACCCCGGTCAGCAACTGTAAGGAATAGGACAGATCCAGTTCCTCTGGGCGTCCCCCCGCCATCCCCGGCTGCGTCCCCTCCGCCCACCCTTCTCCTTCCCCCTGCCCGCCCGTGCCACGCTGGGCTCAGCTGAGGCCGGAGCAGCTCAGCACAGGTACCCCCAAAACGGGGGTCCTTCGCCCCGGCTGCTGTGCCCATGCACGGGGATGCATCCGGCAAGGGGGGCGGAAGGAAAGAGGGGGTGCCGCGGGACGTGGCCCCCCCAGTCCCGGCCCTGACGGCCGCCCCCTCGCCTGTGTCCCCCCCCCAGCTACGAGAAGATCATCGGGGGGAAGTACATGGGGGAGATCGTCCGGCTGGTGCTGCTGAAGCTGGTGGACGAGAACCTGCTCTTCAACGGGGAGGCCTCCGAGAAGCTCAAGACCCGCGGGACCTTCGAGACCCGCTTTGTGTCGCAGATCGAGAGGTACGGGGCTGGCGGAGCCGCGGCGGGGGGCCGGCACCCGCAAACCAGCCTGCTGTGCTGCCCCGCACCGGGGTCTTCCGTCCCGTCACCACACAGGCGCATTGGGGTCCCCTGTCCCATCACCCCACACCAGGCTGTCCCACGCTGGGGTCCCCTGTCCCGTCACCCCACACCAGCCCTCTATAACCGCCCCGCACGGGGTCCCCGTGTCCCCCCGTCCCCTGACCGACGCACCCCTCTCTCCCTGTCCCAGCGACTCCGGCGACCGCAAGCAGATCTACAACATCCTGACGGCCTTCGAGCTGCTGCCCTCGGGGATGGACTGTGACATCGTGCGGATGGTCTGCGAGAGCGTCTCCACCCGCGCCGCCCAGATGTGCTCGGCCGGGCTGGCCGGCGTCATCAACCGCATGCGGGAAAGCCGGAGCCAGGAGACCCTCAAAATCACCGTGGGGGTCGACGGCTCCGTCTACAAGCTCCATCCCAGGTGAGGATCCCCGAGAGCCTTCCTCCCACCGTGGTCCCCTTCCTCCTCCTCCTGCATCCCCCAAGCCTTGACCCCGTTTTTTTCACCTCTGGCAGCTTCAAGGACCGCTTCCACGCCACGGTTCGGCAGCTGACGCCCGGCTGCGACATCACCTTCATCCAGTCGGAGGAAGGCAGCGGCCGCGGGGCCGCGCTCATCTCGGCCGTCGCCTGCAAAATGGCCTGCATGATGGGGCAGTGAGAGAGGACTCGGGTGGAGGATGAGGATGATGATGGCCTGGGGGGGTGGGAGGACGGCGGTCCCGCTCGGAGCTCTGCGAGGAGCAGAGACGGACGTGGGAAGGGATTTGCCGCTGGTGAAGGCGGCTCCCGGCTCCCCAATAAACGGGGTTTGCGTGGACTTCTCCTCTGGGGCCGCTTGAGCGAGAGCTCCTCGTCTTCCTCGTGCCGGCAGGGAGACCCCCCCGTGGGGCTGCCCCACGTCTGAGGGGTCATCCTGCACCTCCCTGGCCCCACTGGGGACCCCGCCGCGGGGAGCGGGACCCCCGTGCGCCCCCCCAGCCCCTGTGCTGGGACTGAGACCCCCGGGGGGCTGGCCAAGGGGTGAGGGGCTGGTTGGGGAGGACCTGGGGATGGAGGGGGCCGGGGTGGCCCCCACCAGTGAGCCCCGGAGGTGCAGAGACCGACTGGGGTGTGCCGGAGCTGTGCCGGCCGTGCCGCAGCACCGATTTTTGGGGATCCCCTCCAGCCTTATCCCCGCAACGGACACAGGGTGGGGGGCAGAGCCTGGGGGCACCCCAGCCTCCCCCTCCCAGCACTGACCCCCCCAAAAGGGGGCACAGACCCCCACCAGGGGCTAAATCCCGCTCCTGCCAGCGGCAGGACCCCAAAACCCAGCGGGTCCCAGCCCACCCCAAAAATGTGCCGTGGCTCAGCCCCCTTCCCAAGCAGCCAAAAATAGTGTCCCCTGCCCCGGTGACAGCCGGGGGGGCCCGGCCTGGCTTGCGTCCGGCACAGCCCCGCGGTGTCAGCACCCGGTGCCAGCACCAAGTTTGGCTCGGCTGCCCACCCGCGTCCGCCGCCCGATTTAGCTTGGGGCGATAAGGGGGGGGATAAAAGCCGGGGCGCCCCGGGGAGCCCCAGCCCAGGGCTGCGGCGAGGATGGTGAGTGCGGCCGGGGACCCCCCAGGCACGAGGGATGGGGCGCCCCAGGGTGTGCGGATGCTGCGGGGGGGACTGGGGGCACCCCAGGGTGTCGGGGTCCCTCTGGGGGTCTGGGGCACCCCAGGGATTTGATCGCCCTGAAGGTTTGGGGCGCCCCAGGGCGTCGGGGTCCCTCTGGGGATGGTGGGCACCCCGGGGTGTTGGGTTCCCCAGAGGGTCCAGGGCAGGGTTTCGGGGTCCCCCTGGGGGTCTGGTGGCACCCCTGGATGTTGGGGGTCCCCCTGGGAGTCTGGGGTGTTCCACAGCATTGAGGTCCTCCTGGGGCACCCCAGGGTGTTGGGGTCCCTCTGGGGGTTGGGAGCACCCCAAGGTTTTGGGGTCCTCCTGGGGCACCCCCAGGTGTTGGGGTCCCTCTGAGGGTCTGGGGCACCCCAGGGTGTTGGGGTCCCCCTGGGAGTCGGGAGCACCCCAGGGTGTTGTGTCCCTCTGAGAGTCTGGTGGTACCCCAGGGTGTTGGGGTCCATCCGAGGGTCTCGAGCACCCCAGGGTGTTGGGGGGGGTCTGGGGGCACTCCAGGGTGTTGGGGTCCCTGTGGGTGTGTGCGAGCACCCCAGGGATTGAGGTCCTCCTGGGGCACCCCGGGGTGCTGAGGTCCTCCCGGGGCACCCAGGGTGCTGGGTTCCCTCTGGGGGTCGGGGGCACCCCAGTCTGGGACCCCCTCGGGCTGTTGGGAGTCAGCCCATGGTAGGGGCCATCGTGGGGGGCCGGGGACACCCTGGGACGCCTGGGGCCACCCCATGGGGTCCGGGGCCACCCTGGGACCTGGGGGCACCCCAGGATCTGGGATCGTCTCAGGGTGTCGGGGTCATCCTTGGGCGTCGGGGGGCACCCTGGGCATCAGCCAGCGGATTCCCTGGGCTCTGATTGGCTGCGGCCAGCAGCCAGCAGGATTCCCTGGGCTCTGATTGGCTGTGGCCAGCAGCAGTAGGGTTCCCTGTGCTTATGGCCGTGGCCAAAAGTGGATTCCCTGTGCTCTGATTGGCGGCAGCCCTCAGCCAGCAGGATTCTCTCTGTTCCGATTGGCCAAGGCCGAACAAAAGGGATTCCCTGTGCTCTGATTGGTTGGAGGACCAAAAAGGGATTCCCTGTGCTCCAATTGGCTGGGGCCAAACAAAAGGGATTCCCTGTGCTCTGATTGGCTGTGGGACCAAAAAGGGATTCCCTACGCTCCGATTGGCTGGGGCCAAACAAAAAGGATTCCCTGCGCTCTGATTGGCTGGGGCCAAACAAAAAGGATTCCCTGCGCTCTGATTGGCTGGGGCCAAACAAAAAGGATTCCCTGCGCTCTGATTGGCCGGGGCCGGACCAAGGCTTCCCCGCGCCCCGGTTGGCTCCCGCAGGCCAGCAGGAGGGCGGGCACGCGCGGCAGGGCGGCGGCCAGGCGGGCGCAGCGCCGCTCCTCCAACGTCTTCTCCATGTTCGAGCAGTCGCAGATCCAGGAGTTCAAGGAGGTAACGGGGCGGGGGGTCCC